TGTCGGCTGTATGATTGAAATTGGTGCATACTTCTGCACGTTGACACAAAGTCATTTATGGTGTTGCGCTTGGTTGGACACTCCAAAAGTCATGGTTGTTTCTTTTGGAAAGTTAAAAAAGTTCTCACAGACGGGTTCTTCAGATGGTGTTTCAGACTGTTAAATGATAAGCTCAAGAAAACATTTTTGAAAAGGAAGAATGAATTCTTTTTTTCTTTTTCCCCTCATAATGTAATTTTTTTCTTTTGATCCCTGTTTGGAATATTAACGCTTACATCTGCTTGGCTTGGGGCTGCTTTCAGACCCAAAGAAGGGTCCTGGCCCTCATGAAAAAGTATTTTTTCTTGATGTCTTAGGTCACAAAAAATGTGCATGGTCTTGTCTCTTGTTATGGACACAAATCTAGCTTCACTGCCATTACTGTGGTGACAAGTTGTAGTTCTGTCACAACTGCTGACTATTGAGGCTGGCAGCAGGATGGGTAGTTGGATTGCCTCCAGTTACTGATGAAGATGCCTTATATGGATAGTGAAATTTTTCAAATGATACGTATTTGTTAGACATTTGTTACAATGGCCAGAAATAGAAACTGTCTGCCACATTTCAAGTGATGTACTGTGTAATTCTACTGCAATAGCCAGCTAGATCCATCAAGAGTTACATTTAATCATCACAGACCAGTTATATTAGTAAAAAAAAGTTAATATAAATGAATGTTTTTTATTCATATTCATTAATTAATTGCTTGGCATTTGAACATCTTGGTCCTCTGCACACCCAGGAAATCTATGTCCAGGTTTTTATGATTAGCTGGGAACATATGTACTGAACCAGTTTTCACTGCCAAGTCAGGAGCTTTTTGGCCCTGAGAAGGAAACATGTGAGCCCCCTCATGAGACAATCACATTCATAATGCATCAATGGGAATACAAGCAGGGTTACTTTGAACAGCCCTGTAATCAGTCTCACATTTACTTCCACACCACCAGATGTGTGGGTCACTTCAGCTCCTCTTAAAATTTAGAGAATCTAGATCTCATAGCCGCAGAGGTAAATGCTGTCCAACAATCAGTGCACTGAAGGCTCAAAGTGTTCCACATAAAAGGCTGCATAAATGTACAAAATGACTTTCAATAATTACCAGCTTTTTAACATAAATCCATAACCCCAATCAAAATGAGAAAAGTTTGTCGTTATTGTTTCAGGCTCACCATGCAGAATGCGGCTGTTTGGTTGCCATATGATTCCTTTTTGCTTTATGCATTCATTATAAACTGAAGAAACTGAATGATTATTGTCTGTTGTTTAGCTAAATAAAACAATAATCCACAAGAATGTTCTGATGTCTCTTGTTTTTCACATTACACAGTAGGCTAGTGTGTTATTTTTCAATAACTGAACAGAAAGGTGTGGGTTGTGTCTTACTTTATCCAACACAAGATTTAGGTGCCTTATCAAAGACAAAATAAATGTATTTATTACAACTGAGGTGAAACTAGAGATGAACCAATTGTGAAATTGTGAAATTTTATTTATTTGCCCTTTTGTGCCAGGTAAACAAAGACATCTAAAAAGATAAGCATCTCTGCCTTGTTGTAGCTCAGACTATTTATCTTCTCATCCAAGATGCCAGACAAAGAGGCAAACAGCCGCTCACTGTCTGTGCTGCTGCATTGATCACATAGTGCCAGCGCTGGAAACCGGAGGTGATTATTTCTCAAATATCCGAGTTGGAAGAAAACAACAAAATATTTGACTGATTGACTCAACAGATAAATATCTGCCACTAATAGTAGGGAATGCCATCATATTCGCCGAAATCAAGGTGAATATTTGCCAATACTGAGTTCTGTAGATAAATCAATGTCACTAGGTATAAAAACAGGTTGGAAACAAGGTCAGGACAGTGAAATTACTACCCCAAATCTCCATTTGAAACATCACACAGGCCCACATTCCTTTTTTTTGATCAACCGTTATCTCTGGTCTCAGGCGTCCACAGTTTTATTTGATCTGACTTTGTCTCAAGGACTGCATTAGTGATATGTTATTTGTTGTTGATTTAGTATTGAATTGTTTACAGTCTGCTCTGTGCATGTGGTAATAATAGTGCTGTGTATTGCCTGCAATGGCAGCAGTCAGCCCTCTGCAGTTTCTAAAGAGTATATTTTCTAATGAGGGAAATTATTGTGAACTACTCCTCATTTTCCTGGAGCCTCTGTGGGTTCCTTCAGAACCTAAACTGCTTTAAACCTCTCCACCACCAGGATTCCTCTTTTTTCCCCCAGGATTAGAAGCCAGATTAAATCAACACAGTGATTTCCATATGTCAATTTTGCTGCTTACGTCATGCAGTCTACAGTAACTATAACCACCAGAAGTCACATATTTGCTAAAACAGGCACTTTGCCAGTAAGAAGAAATTGAGTTTTTCATTTTCCTTTGTTGCCGCTGCAGCTCAGGGATTAATTTGCCGCTGGACAAGATAATCATAAAATTCCAATATGCAGAGGAGATTACCTGAGAGATATGTTTGCCAGTCATTAATGTACAGCTGTGACCTGTGAGTGTGCACACACATTATGCACACAGCCAGATCAACTTGCAGAGCATATGCACACTCTTGCATTCATAAACAGCAGACATCTGGACAGAGATGAAGTGTGTTGGCAAGAATTATAGAGGGACAGACAGCATTAGCAACACAAAGTCTAGTTAACAAACTGAATGAAATATAAGGCTGTGTCTGGCTCATTAAGTCAGCACCAGTGTCAACAGTGTATATACATGCATGGTAAATAGGTCAGTGTACTACATCTGACTGCACAGAGAACCTCCCACTATCTGTCACCAGTAGTCAAACAGCAAGCTTAACACATGATAAAATAAACGATGATTAGTTATTATAGGGCTCCTTTATGCCCACAGCCTCTCACTGAGCTCTACATGGCAGCATGAGCTAATTAAATCTAATCAAGGCCAGCATCAGAATGCTGCACAGTTTACGGCGCTTCAGCCAATTTTCCGGAGGTCAGGAGAATCTTCACAAGGCAGAAGTACCTTTCGATTTAATTAATCCACGACATTGTAAACATTGTTAAGTCATTAAACGAGTAATTAAAAATGCAAAATGTCAGGACATGTTTTACAGACTTTTTTATGTAGCTGTGGTCAGAAGGAACCTCCAGTCACTGTTGCCAACTTGGCAGCTTTGCAGCAAGACTTTCCAGACTCGTGAGTGTGTTTCCAAACACACCAGGATAGGGTTAGCGCCACTTTTTGGACAACAGAGTGTGACTGTGTTGTATTTAGTGAGAAAATTGGAGATATAATTATGCCCTTTGTTTATCAGTCCAAATATTTCTGATGATTAATGTATTTCCCATGCATAGCATCACTTCTCCAGGAGAAGTGTGTGCGTATACATGTGCAAATTTGGATATGGCATGTCTGGCAGCCTCTAGTGGGTTTTTTGAGCAGCCTTGGAAAAGCATCAGCCATATTAGAGACTCCTGCTCAGGGGCAGAGCCAGACGTTGGGCTTTGCTGAAGGGATATGGGTGCAAGTTTCCCCGGGGAGATTTTTCCCATTTACGGCAGCTATATGCACTATTTTGCAAGCCAGTTGAGTTAATAGACTGCCTTAAAATCTGCACATCATTTGGGAAAAATAAGATAATTGTCCAGTAAAACAGTCATCCTGTAAAGCCTACATCCTATTTTGTATCTAATTCTTCATCATTCTGAAACCATCACACAATAAATGTTGAGGATGACTAATTGTCACTCCTGCCCCAATTACATAACATAGGTAGGATGGGAACAAAGCCACCACCCCCAACTCCGCCCCTGCTCCTGCTGGACTGCAGGGCTATAGTCAAGACCACTTACTATAACTAAAGTGGTGATCGGGTCCGAGTTGAGACCAGAAGATAAATATTTTTAATCTTACTGCTCTTGTAATTATTTGTTAAATGTGTGATTACAAAAAAATTATAATTGTATGTGAAACCAAAACAAATGGGACATGAACAGCAGTTCTGGCTCTTTATGCTACATCTGGTCAGCACCTCCATAAGCAAGCATCAGTATTTGACGAGTTGAGAGTCAGACCGCACTGTTAAAATGAGGATGATCTGTTGTTACTGGACATGGCAAAGACTTACTTTGGAAAATCAGCATTACTCATACTTGTACATGACCGAGCAGGTCATATTTAAGAATTTTGCATGTCTGGTGAACTGACAGCTGACTGACAACAGAACAGCCTCTCCAGTCTGCTATGAGAGACTATAAAAACAGGGGGAAAATAATCAGAGCAGGGCTCATTGCCAAAGGTAACACTGCTGTAAGGTCTGGCATCTACACTGTGTCCATAGCAGCTCAATGTGTCACATGCAAACACAACCAAAGGCCTTATATCAAAATAACAGTGAAGTTGGCTTTATCTCTTCTTTACAAAACACTTTGTGTATCTTAAGCAAGCCTGTGTGATGTTGCAGTGGTAAGGTCTGTATTTCAGTGGTACTCAAAACTTTTTGTGGCGTGCCCCCCCTTCAGAAACCAAAGAACATGCATTACTTACCAGTGACAGGGTAAGCAACAAATTAATGATTGAATTGTAGTGACATAAAGGTCAGCAAGATAGCAGAAATCCCTGCATAAATGTTCATTCAACTTAGTTTCACTCTATATTTCTCCCCTGGTCATCCCCCCCCCCCCCCACCCCCATGCAGTGGCTCTATGCCCCACCAGGGGGTCCCACCCCACAGTTTGAGAACCACTGCCCTACATACAGTAGAAGAATCTACTGTCCTATTTCTCTGAAACTAAAGCTAAAATCAACCATTACAGCTGGAGCTCTGAAGGAACCCTCCACTGGGTGACACAGCTGTCCAGAAATGTGACCGACCTCCTGCATTCTTGTACACCAGAGTCCTTCAGAATTGCCTATTTGTACATGTCTTGCTGAGTCTTCTGCATTTCAATGTGATTTTCTAGGTGCCTTTGGTGGCCTCCCACTGTGAACTTGGCACACCCACTCCGCCACCCCCTCCAAAGCCCACAGGTGTGAAGCTGGTCAGTTGTTGCTGAGAGAGATGAAGACATGCTCGATGTTTCTGGCAGCTCTGCTGCTCCCCAGCATCCAAGCAGGTGAGTTAAGGACATGTCTTTTTTACTGATCTTTATTTTCTCAGTGGGCTAAGGACACTTGATGTCATGAAATACAATACCATCAATCCATCAGTCACTGATTAGATTCTACCACCCTATCAATCAGTGGTTCCCAACCTTTTTCCTTAAGGGAGCCCTTTTCTATCGAGTAAACTGACTCAGTCACATATTTTATGGATATTTCATATTATATTCAATGCATCACAATAACAGTAGAGAACAACTCATACACTGTACAATGAACCCAAACAGTGAACACAGTAACTGCAGGAAGTTTGTGTAAAACCAGAGATTTGGATGAATTTTGAGCAGATTATTTCTTGTGAATATTGATCAGATATCAGTTTTCCTGATATTTTTAGGAACTTTTAAACAATTATCCGTCTGTATTTTTCTTTTTCTCAACAACCATACATACAGGCTTCTTTTGAGGACAAATTCAGTGTTTCTGACACATCAGCTCTTTAGTTGTTTTATCTCCATACTTTTCTAATGCAGGACAAGGCTGTTAATCATTATTCAGCTCTTCAAAGTTTATATTAAATACTAATCTAAATATTCAAAATAACAATTTCGTTTAGTTTTCTTCACAGAAATACAACATATATATAATTATCTTACATTCCTTAAAATCAAGAAGACCTGCAACCCCCCATGAAGCTTTGGCGACCCCTAGTGGAGGTCTCAACCCTCAGGTCAGGAACCATGGCTATAAATCACTGTAATATCAAACTGATTACTGATTACTCTGAGGGTAAAATGAGATCTCAGCTTAAACATCCACAGTTCGGGATGGTGACCCTCAAACGAAGTGGAAAGAATGCATTTAAACAATATATGGTGAAAAAGTAACCCATAAAATTGGGGCACATTGATCTCCTAATTTTATGTTTATCTAGGAAATGACACTGAAAACAATGCTGTCACTTTCAAACACATAAATATTTTGCCTGTTTTTAATATAAATTTTGACTTGTCATTACAATGCTGGGTGTAGTGTATTCTTCTCAGCACACTTTACACCACCTGCCCAGCACCAAACAGCAGACAGATGCAGTCAGAGACTAGCTGGTTAGGAGAACCAGAGCTAATTGGGTGGAAAAGGGGTACTCTTGGTCCACTCTTGCCAATAGTCCCCATTTGCAGTCTCTGCTTGCTATCTTGCCATCACATTTTAGCTTGTAAATAATCATGGCTATGTGCATGCGCTACGTGCATTTACATGACTAGGTAGCAGGCTAATATTGAAACTATGCAAAACTCATTTAAAATTAAATTTCAGCAATCTCATAGTTAATGTATTTTCATTCCAAATTCTCTATTATTTTTGATAGTACTTCTATAGATAGTAGTTTTTAATAGAATTCTTCTGCATGCCCCTAGAGGCAGTTTGCATACCCAAAGTATGAGAAACAGTGCCCTAGAAGAACAAAAACATACAGTTTAATTTCAGTTGGACTTTAGTTTTTGAACAACAATGGAATGAATGAATGCCACACGAGGTGGTTATAATTCCAAAGCCACTGTAGCGTTCAGACGATTGATTGATATTCTGTTGGTGATGTATGTGGAATGCAAATAACTAAAGGATTGGTTCACCCATTTTTTATTCCTCAAAAGGAAAAGTAGAAGAAAAACCTGAAAATATAACTTTATTACCTTCAAAATAAAAGTAAGTGCCTACTGTGCTGTCCTGTTCGTAATTTAGTGCAACAGCTTAACAGTACTACACAGGCAGCATGTACTGTTTCTCAAAGACGTATTCGGCAAATCCATTTATGTTGCATTCACATGGATTCAGGCCGACAGTAGACAGCAGATGGACGGCGCCTTGTGGACAGCACGGGAAAGAAACAAATGACGATGCATGATGACACAGGTGTGACAATATGTTGCAATGACGATGACGTATCACTTATGAATAATGGAATAAAATATTTTAAAGGTCCAGTGTGTAACATTTAGGAGGATCTATTGTCAGAAATGGAATATAATATTCATAGGTATGTTTTCATTAGTGTATGATGCCTTCTACCATTACTGTTACCTAATTATACCATCTACCGTCGTTTCTAGGAGAAAAAAAGTGGACAAATAACACCTATTATTCCATGGCATGAGAAAAGACGATATGTTATTTTTTTATATTTAATATGGATAAATATAATAATAATGGATACAATGACCATTTAAATGACTGAAGTCAATGGCTACAATTTGGCTTTTAAAAAAACAAATCAACATCAAAAACTTATAATTGAAGTGAGACAGTTGGCACAAGATAACAGTGATGCACAGTCTTCACCTGCAGTGTCAAAGCAATATACCACCATCAGCTTATGGATTTACTTTAGAGGAGGTGTTGAAGGATACTAATCCCTGCATCAAATTCATTTCCCAGGATGAGAGAGGAAGCTCTGACAGAAAGTGAGAGACAGATAGAGCTGGTGTTTTCCTTCACTGAACTGGAGAGGGTAATTTAGGGACTCTCAATTCTAGAACCAAGTGAAGAAGAAGACTTGTACTCAATATTAAATTTGATGAATAAAAGGATAAAACATGTTCTGCCCAAATTGAGATTACTTGCATATACTGGCGGTTTTATTTCAGCTCTCTCACAACTGATCCTAGCACGGCTCTGTGTGTTTTTGTGTGTGTTTGTGGAAAAGTGCTCAAGGCATTAGAAAAGTTCTTCCACTATAAATTTTACACATCTCTCTCACAGCTTTGTTGTGACTGCAAACAGTGGCTTTTGGAGCTGTAAGCAAATCTTTCTAATGACCACAACAAGAGCATCTCAATCAGAGGCAGATTAGTTTTTTTTACTAGAGGTTTAGTAATGGGCTTGCATCTCAATGAGAAGCTCAAGACACTGCAGGAAGGCAGTGACATCATGCCAAAGGAGAATAAGTGAAAGGAATAATAATACAATAGGTTTTAGTATGAATTAATGGGCATTTTGTCCCTCTCTGGCTAACTGGTATAAAAGAACAGTGAGTTTTCAATCGGATTACACACTCTGGATTTAGGAAGTATTCTCACCTTTTCTTTAAATTATGCATTAATTAAGCGTATTTCTGACATTTTAAGATGCATAGTTTTCATTTGACAGCAACACCTGGTCCTTGTAGCTCTTTACTATAGGTAACAGGTTTCTAGCTGTATAGTTTTGATTGGAATTAACAGAAAAACTGGGGAGCTAGCATGATAAGCAGGAATAGCAATGGATGAACAAAGAAAAGAGGGCCACCTAGTCCCAAAAATAGACAGCATCCCATTTTACAACACAGGGTTTAATGAGCAGTGGATACTGTAGACGTAGAGATATTTCACTGGATAGAAAAAACTAGCTAGTGGCGCTGCATGCCAACTCATCATTCTGGACACCACAAATGTACACATTTTCTAGACAATCCATCCAGAGTTTTTGAGATGTTTCACTCAAAAACCAGAGGGTCACCAATGTCAAAATCCCATGGAGAACCCAAATGTCTGTACAAACTTCCACGGCAATCCATTAAATAGTTGTTGATATTTTAGCCTGCACAAAAGTGGTGAACCAACCGACAGATATTGCCACCCATAGATCCATGCTGCTAGTGTAGCTATAAATACCACAGCTAAGGCTGCTGTTGGAATGATGTTTGATTTGCTTTGCAATTTTATTAAATGAAAGTTTAATGATCCCTGTCATGTGAAAATTGTTCTGTTAAAAAGCAAACAGCAATAGAATACATCAAAGAAACTGGAAACTGCAAAAACACATTTCATTTAAAGACAGATACAGCAGTGGTCAGACTTCCAATTTCAATCCTTTAAATGCAGTCACAACTGTGTATATGTAGCAAAACCTTCACTTTCTTTCCTTATTAATTTCCTATTTAATAAAACAATGCTGCAGTGAATTGTATTGCAATGTTGGAATGGATAACCAGGAATGCCACCGGGTCTAAATACACTCTTCGTTTAATGGCAAAAACTCAGTTTATTTTCATTCATTGATCAAACTTTAGGATACTCAGAGTACTAAAAGTAAAAGAACTAATTGTGAACCATTTCAGAATCATTTGTATTATATTATTGGATTGTAACTATGGATGCATTATGTGTGAGCATCACTTTAATGTTGCAGCTGGTATATTTAATTTAATTTGAATTAATTTATATATACTGTACTGCTGGATAGATTAATCTAGCTGCACTAAATAACTTAAGAATAAAAACGTTCTCTTGGCTCTGATTGGTTGTTTTTGTTCAAGCCTGGTGGATTCTTGCAAATGCCATTAGGAGCACGAGGAGAAGCCAGAGGAACCTGATTTTTTTTTTTTACAGATTATCTGTCTTATGTACTACTGTCAGGATATAGTGAAAGTTTCAGCAAAAATGACAAAAAGTTATTTATATAGAACTTACCTACTGCAGCTTTAATAATTTGAATGTGCGGTGTCAGATAAACATATAGAAAAGTACAATATTGGCTTCCAAGTAGAAGTATAAAGTAGCATGCAAAATACTGTAGATAATATTGTAAACCATATATCAGTTGACACTGTAATAAAATTTCACTGTTACAGAGTCTCTGTTTACAACTTGAAATGCATTACTGGATTTTTTTCCCCAGTTTCCCAGTCAAGATGTTAAACCCTTAATACATGCATGATATCAAAGGTTTTTTTTTTTTTTACCTGTTCAAAGAGCATAATTGCATAAAACCTTTGGTAAAAACTAAATAATATATTTCTCTAATTCCTCAGGACGCTTACTACTAAACTTACTGAGCATTTACTACAGCATTTTCATTCGATTAATTTTTAAGTTCTTTTACTGAAGCCAATGTTGATGATTTCTGATATTTCTACTTTACTTAATGCTGGTTGAGTTTTCATCATATTTTTGGCTTGACTGATGTGAAGTGTACCAAAACAAACAATATGAAGCCACAGTAGGTTGATTGTTGTTGAGTGTACCCCCAGATGGTCGCATCAGGGGCTTAACTGTTAGCTCCGGTGCTTTTTGGCCTTGTCCGGCCTGAACAAGGCAACTACAAGCTTCCAGCATGAACACACCACTGAGTAAACAGTAGTAGCTCAGAACAATAAAACTACAGCTCTCTTTAAAAGGATCATTGCTGCCTTACTGTCAGTTATTATTCTGTCCCTGCCTGTAATTACAGGAGAAACCAGGTGTAATGCTTTGAAGCCTTATTTTGTCAGTTTTTGTTTGTGGTGTAATTCTCCCTGACTCACCTGTGTTGGTGGTTTTCTGATGAAGTTCAGGCACAGTTCATTGTGTTGTTGGATTAAGAAAGAATTTCAAGTAAAGCAAAGCAGCAGGTTCAGCAGTTTTATTCATAGCTGTCAAACGCTCTAGTTACTGGCAGCCACAGATCTCCAAGGACTGACTTCAGACGCTCACTCAGAAATGTGTGTGTGAACAGCTGCTGATGAGGAACTTTTTGCTGTATGTTGTATGTTGGGTTTTGCATATGGCTTCCATTTTATGTTTTTTATCCTTTAGGGCTCGGAGGAGGTCGAAACCTGGATATGAGAAAGTCCACTTTTTTTCCAAATTCAGATTCCTTTGTAGTCTATTGAAATAAAAGCAGCACAGTGTAAAAACAAGACAAGGTATGTTAAGTTTAGTGACCACGAATGAACTTGCTGAAACTTAAAGTAACATGTAAGGATCCCTCTGTACAATACAGTATTTTCAGACAAACAAAATAACTTGGCCTCTTACTATAAATAACAACCCTGTTAGACTCTACCTTGGATATCTAGTAAGTATAATAATGGTGCAGATGGCCTTAGCTTCTGATAGTATTTCTGTAGGTTATATGGCTTAAGAGGATCTTCTAGTTGGGTGTACTATAGGTATATAAACTAGGATAGCAGGATAATATGGCATGCTGTTTAACAGGTTAACATGGAAACCACTGGATTTTTTTATCATTAGAGATTAATACATTTATGTATTATTATTTACGCAATACATAAAGTATAATTCTATTGCCTTATTATGTCTTTAGATGAAAAAGACAAAATTACAATTTAAAAAGGAATTTAAAGGACCAATGAGTAGGATTTAGCGGCATCTAGTTGCAGATTTCAACTCCCTTGATTCACACCTCCATGTGCAAAGCACAAACTACGCATAAAGAACACAAAAGACCCTCTTCTAGAGACAATATCTGGTATGTCTGTTCTTGGCTACTGTAGAAACATGGCTTGGTTTATTTTCAGGTATACACTAATGAAAACATACCTATGAATATTATATTCCATTTCTGCCGATGGATCCTCCTAAATGTTACACTCTGGACTTTTACATTTTAATTCATTGTTATTATTCCATTTACTTATGTCACAATTAATTTGTTTCCTGCTTTAACAGTTTTCATTTTGTTATGGCTGTACTGTAAACAAGATTGACAAATATTTAATGTGAAATAAATGTTAAGATAAAAAGTCTAACCCACAGAGCACAAGTGCCTTTCAAAAAAAAAACAGAATAAGCTAAGAGAACGATCAATTGGCAAATTTAATCGTCATCTTTTATACTTTGAGTCTTATAATGCAAATTTAATCGATTTTAATTCATGAAAAAAGCTATTAAGTGCACTTTGAGTTAAGATGGTCTTTTCAAACATTATTTCCAATGTCAAGAATGAACCTTGATGTTCAGTTTGCTCAATAGCATGTAACTGGGACAAAATGCTACTGTCAGTATAGTCAGCATGCAAAGATGAATAGTTTATGAATATAATTGAGTGGGTGAAAGAATAGTTTCTTAAAGTCATAGCAGGGCTGCAGACAAACACCTCCACCGACACTCCAGTCCTCCAGAGCCAAATAGCTGTCACTCAGACAAACAGAAACAAGTTGATTGCACGTCACCACCTATGAATCTGTGTTAGCCCACTGGGAAATCTACTTGACAATTCAGGGCCCTGACCAGTCAATGTCATTGATGGATCCATTAGGTGGCAGGGAAATGAGGTAACCACCACACACACCGTAGAGCAATAGAATGAAACTCTATTGGGCAGACTGGACAGTTACACACACTGTCTCAATGCTATCTTGACAATAAGAGACACAAAGTAAATTGTTTTTATCAGTCACTCTTACTCGTGAGTGGGCAATCCAATAACCCTGTGTGCTATTTTATCCCAATTTAGATAGTTGGTGAGCTGAGAAAGTTACAGAGTAGACAAGGAATGAAACAAATCTGATCAGCAGAGAACTCACTGGTGATCTTATCAATCTGTGATGTTCAACGAATTACTGGAGATTTTCTGAAGTTCTGAATGTTATTTATTATTTTTTGCACCATTGTTTCCTCCTCTTCATCTCATTTATTTCTACCTCATAATTTCAAAGTGTTTCCCAGTGTCATTCAAGTGCCTCAAGAAAACTTGTACTAACCATTTACTTTTAATTAAAGCTGACAGACTGGTCTGGGTATAGTGTAAATAATTATAAATATCTATTGTGTCCTGTCGGCACAGGACATACCTTTCTCTCTCCCTCCATCTATGAAGGATTTCTTTTTGAATGTTGAATGTCAGTGCAAAATAGGGAGTCACGAAATAAGTCCTTGTTCTTTGATTCTGAAGGACTTACACAAACCTTTTTAACCTGATGCATATTTACAGTTGCTTCCCCCCTTAAAACTTTATTTATGTATCTGTATGTATATGATTCAAAAGATTTTGTCAAGGTGACAAAAAAGCCTTATAGCAGCTGAAGCATGTTGTGAAAGGTTTTATTTGCTCTAAAAGTAGCTGGATGTTTTCCATCAATTCTTGTGATTCATTCACATTTGAAAGATAGATGCTTGTTGATACAGTAAAGGTCAGGTGGAGACGAGAAAAATCAATAATTTCTTGTGGTCTTTTATCACTACTCTGCCTTCGCTTGTCCATATTCATTTGTCCCATTTTTTTCATTAGTTTTGATTGGGAAGTGTAGCACTTGTAGTTGCCATCTATCCATTCATACATTTTCTGCCGCTAATTGGGGCCGAAGTCATGGTGATGGATAAGATGCCTGAACCACACAATTTGGCTCCTTTTGATGCAGAGGTGCTGTGGATCTACTCCAAATCCATCCAGATGTTTGAGCCCAACCACCCTATAGTGGAAATTTATTTTGGTTGTTTGTATCTGTGATTTAAATTATTTCGCCACTTGTCAAAGTGCTTGACTATAGGTGAGGGTACCTCCAATCCACTTTTCAATTTCACACATTTTACCTTCACTTGTGAACAAGACCTCCAGATCCTTGAACTCTTTGACTCTCATTCTCAACCTGGAGGGAGCAATCCACTATTTTCCTTCAGAAAACCAGGGCCTTAGACGTGTAGACTGGATAAGCAAACTCCCATGACCCCTCTAGTAATTCTTCAAGGTTAGAAAGCTGGTCCATCCTCCACGACCATTATGGAATCCACATTGCTCCTCCTGGATCTGAGGTTCGACAGTTGTTTGGAGCCTCCTTTCCAGCATCTTCGCATAAGGAATCCTCCCTGGGAAGCTGAGCATTGCTTTGATAATCAGAGCATATATGCACATGCATGAATTGTAATTCAGGACTGTACTTGGTTAATTTCCACCACTGAGTTGTTCATGTCTCTAGAAGTTAAATGTCTGTGTATTTTCTGTCTCCCGCAGTGTGTCCGGATAAGGAGCCAGGACTGCAGCCATGGATGCCGGGACACAGTGAAGACCACCGTGTTACAATCGGTTATGGCAGGAAGGTCCTTCTCACTACTTCAGCTACGGTCCACTCCATTGAGATTCTCAACGGAGGTAAAATATACAAATCCATCTTGTGTTCATCAGTTAGGGTTTTTTTAATCATCTGTAATGTGACTGAGTGAAACAGAATATATGGCATGGGTATAGTTACGAAGGGAATTTTAGTCTAATCCATACATTTGATTGGGTTGCTTAAAAGTAGGTGTGACTAAAAAACTACAGCTTGAATATGGAGTGGTAGAGAGATACGATACTATAGTATAACCTCATCTGCATTGTTAGATCAGGAGGTCGACAAATGAGAAATTAATAAATTAGACCTCAACCACTTTCTTCTGGAAACACAAACAGATGGTTAGCTAGTGATCCTACATCACACTTATAACTTATAACCCAGAGTTCAAGATAATTCAACAGAAAAACTGTAATGTTTTACAAGATGGGAAAAGAAACTAACTTATGCCCTTCATTCTATACCTTAATGTTGCTTTAATTTACCTATTAATAAGGTATTTTACATGGATTTTGAAGGGGACTAATGGCTAACTTGTAAGGTTTTGAAATGAAGTGGGTTTTTACAGGGTTTAGTTTTCCAATTTTTTTTTAATTACCAAAGATATATGATTATTAAGGAATCTCATTGCAACCAAATACATTGATTTAAATTTAGGTGCTGGTTGTTATCAGAGGTAATTAAGATTACACTGGTGGTGACACCTCAGACATTGAACGATTTACCAAGGGAATTCCCACAGTTATTTGTAATTAATTGTACCTGTGTCAAAAAAATAACTCTCCAAAGTCATTGAATGTCTGAAGGCCTGTGGCGCATGCCTTTCTTATTATAAAATAATTTTAAAAGATTGTGAAGGATGCATAGTTCAAGCTAATTTGGACCTGTTCCAGTTTACTTATAGCTCAGGCAGGGGTGTTGGTGATGCAACAAGCACCCTATTAAACATGATTCTGGCACACCTAGAGGATGCAAAGACGTTAGTACAACTAGTTTTTATTGATTTCTCCTCAGCTGTTAATTGTATCCAGCTTCACATTTAGCAGGAAGGTTAGGGAGCATCCACAACATTGATCCTGGCCTGATATGTTGGCTGATGGATTTCTTAACTGAAAGGTTGCAGCGTGTGAAGGTTAATGGTATTTTATCAGATGTTCCTTTCCTACACTGGATCGCCCCGTGGGTGTGTCCTGTCGCATCTTTTATTTGTCTTGTACACTTTTGTGTGCCACAGCCAGTATGTGAGGTGTCATATCATTAAGTTTGCCAACGATCCTGTCATCATGTCTCTTCTCAGTCGTGATGACCCTGATCATGGCCCTGTATTGCAGAATTTACTTAGTTGTGCAAGTCGTCCTTCTTGGACATCAATGTGTCCAAAAAATACAGGTGACAGTGACTAAAACAGATTTTAGGAAAAATCCTACGGTCGTCTCTCCTTTGATGATTAATGATCAGACTTGTGAGTTTGTGCAGCATTACAAATATCTTGGCACTGTAATTGATGACAATCTGACCCATGAACTTCATTTTGATGTTGTCTTTAGAAAATCCCCTCAGTTGTTAATACCTTCAGTTTTAATGTTGTTAATACCTTCATGAAAATGTTTTCATGTTTTGTTTGCTTTATAGAATCAGTCCTCACTATTTCCTTTGTCAAGTGGTATGGGTCACTTACCCTCAAAAAAAAGAAACAGATTGCAGGGTATTGTTAAAAGTGTGCAGCAAAATTGCTGGCACGAACTTGAACACCCTTCCTCATCTCTATAAGGTTCGGACTTTGAAGGAGGCCCAGTTAGTCCTGGCTGATCCTAGCCACCCCCTGTTCAAGGAGTTGAAGTTGCTTTTGTCTGGCCGCAGATACAGTCTGCCAAGATGACCAACAGACTTCAAACTTTTCAGATTCTTTGATAGCTCCCTCAAAGAGTCTTTTCTGTCACATTTAACTATAGAACATTTTCTATAAATAGTCAGTTCCTTGACAGAAGTGTCCTTGACTGAACTATCTTTCAAAGTGAAAGAATTTCAATGAACACATTCTTCTTACATTCAGTCTGGTTGAATATATCATGTTGAATGTATTGTGCAGTGGCACAGAGTAATATTATTTAAGTTAAAATGTGGCGAAAGAAAGAAAAGTAGCACATACAGGAGATGATGTTTGATGTTTAACAGCTATTCGCCACTTCATTACTGAACTGGAATCATTGGATTGCACACAGGAGGTTGGCCAGCTACTTGTGGTGTGTTTGTGTGTGCATGGACAGCCTCAGCCCAGGGCCATAAATGGTAGAAAGACAGGAGGTGTCTGAGGGCACTGGGGCATGAAAGACCTGCCAGGAGGCTTCATCCACTCCGCCTCCTTCTCTCCTCCTTTAGGAAAGCTGGTGATTGCTGACAACAACCGGCCCATAATGCTACGAACAAAACACATTCTGATTGGGAACAAAGGGGAGCTGCACATCGGAAGCCCAGACTGTCCTTATAAAGGCAACCTCACCATCTCCCTCTTTGGAAGGTACAGTTTTATATTCAGCATTAAGACAGTGACTGTATTCTGTGGGCAGCAATGTGTTTTCCAGAACTGACGCTAAATCAATGCTGTAACATTGGTTATAGTCAATTTAACAACACAAATCAACCAATGTTAATTCTTATTCTGATCCATTTGGACAATGTGGTTCTTCTCTAATATGATCAACGTAATGTAATTTGACTTGGTGACTTTAACATTTGCAGTGTTCTGCCATCATTTCATCAGTATGTTGACACTCATACAAGGAGAGAAAACACTCAGAGAGACGCATACATTTGGCGTGCACACCCACCATTAGGCTTTGCAGATCAGCAACGCCATAACATGCACACGACCCCAGGCACCCCCTCAATCAATTTTTCATACTGCTCCCATCCAGCCTGCAAACAAGCTCTCTATGGCAGAAGTTTCATCCCTTCTGCCACAGCATTACTCAAAAAAAACTCCTTGGTAGCCGTTTTTTGTAATTACCTGTGTTGTGTTTAGATGTCCGAGATGTGTTTAAATGTCTATCCTGTGGTAATGTTGTGTGTATACGTGTATGTACAGACTTTGGCAACACATTTCCTGAAAAGGACAATATAAAACAGGTTGATATTAAACAGGTTGTCTATCGGGCATGTAACCTTAACAAACAAACCCCTAACCATAATCCTAACCCCTGAAGAGACCAAAATCAACAATGAATTGATCCTGCACACAAGTATTGCCTTAATCTTGTTCCAGGACCGCCATTCGCTGCCATGCTTAATCAAAATTAAGCTTACCAGGTGGTGAGTCAATCTTCTTAACCACTTATTAGAAAGTCAGGCAGATGCAAAGTAACAAAAACTAATTAATTCCATTAAAGTTAGTTCAAATCATGTAAAATCAATCACGGCCCATGAACCTAGTTTTGTACCGTTTTAAGCATTTTGACCAAAAATTAGAAATAGTTTTCCTTGGGAACCAAAGTGGGCGTGTCATATTCTATAGCTCTTGATGACACATCCAATTACAATAGTTCCGCTTAAAACTGGTGGAAACACAGACTGGTTATCTAGATATCACCAAGGTTCCATGAATCTTGAATGGTTCCAATCAACGTTCATGGAACCATGGTAAGGGGCATGACTAGAGTGCCGCTCAGCTCAGTGAGGCCACCAGTGTTCTGCTTCCAATGCAAGCATAATTCCTTGCCTCAAATGTCACTTGTATTAAGACATTCATAATTCTCTCACACTGTGCCTAGATTGGATGACAGTGATCAGGAACACAGCTACTTTGGTCGGAAGTACATTGGCGTGGGGACAGGAGGGACACTGGAGATCCATGGAGAAAAGAAGCTGTCATGGACGTTCCTCAACAAGACCTTACACCCCGGAGAGAGCAACCAAAACAACTACCTATTTCAGAGGAGCTGGGGGAACCGAGGCATCATTATCCATGTCATCGACCCCAATACCGGAGAGGTTCTGCAAGATGACAGGTAAAGCTCCTCTACAAGCAAAGGCTGCATCTCAGCTGCTGAACTATCATGAGACTCTTAATTAGAGCAGAAATGATATGGTGGCTGACATCTCATAAGCTGTGTTACCACAGGGTTGTAATGAAGGAGACAAATATTCCTCTAATGGCTCTGGCACTGTTTCATACAGGGATATTAAATTGAGAAATCAATGCCATCCTTTATATCCTTTTGTGATTAATTATCCATAATGTCTTACTCCATATGGAGATCAGATACATTTATATACTGCTTTTATTGTGGTAAAAAGATAATTGTGTACCTTTTTAGAGGAGGACATGACAGGACTGTATCCAGCCTCCTCTGATTTACTGCCATTAGACTTTGTCTGATTAAAGGTGACATCATCAGTCACTACTATAAGTGTAGTTGTTTTGCTACTGTTGTTGTTGTGCACCTTTGTCTCTGTCCTTCTGTCGTTACTTCTGTTCTCTCTCTCTCTCTGTCTCTCTTTCTCTCTGTCTCTCTCTGTCTCTCTCTCTCTCTCTCTCTCTCTCTCTCTCTCTCTCTCACCCCAACTGGAAGTTGGCCATTTTGGATTTAGCGGTCATTTCTGGCAATTTGCACACGTTGTATCTGAGCGAACTCCTCCTAGGGAATTGATCAGATCGACTTCACATTTGGACACAGCAATCAAAAGACATTCACGATTAAAAGTTGTGCTATTTATGACTTTTCGTCAGAGGGCGTGTCCGTGGCATGGCGCCAAGTTTTGACATTTTGCCATGAAAGAGGAATTTGTCATAACTTCAGTGAACTTTGTCCTGCCCTGAATATGTTTATGTGATAATATTCAGTAATAGTGAGAGCGCCACCTAAAGGTGAAAGGAAATGTTATTTTTTATACTTTCATGTTCTACTCCTAGCAGGTTGATCAGATCCACCTGAAATTTTGTCAGAAAATGCAAAACATGTTGTTGATGATAAATCATGATTGTGGTGAGTTTTTGTTAAAGTGTGTGTCCGTGGTGTGGCGTCAAAGTCACCATTTTTGGTGATTTTTCATATTTATTTAACTCCTCCTATGGAATATATTGGATCAATTTCAAAATTGGTCAGTACAATCAAAACAAACTGCAGATGAAAAGTTGTGCTATTTGTGACTGTACGTTGAACGGCGTGCCCGTGGCGTTGCGTTGAATTTCAACGATTCGCCATGAAACAGATAGTACTTATAACTTCAGTGTACAATGTCCAAACTCCACTAAACTTCACATATTCTGTGACAGTCCCAACCTGAACATGTCCTCATAACTTCAGTATACATGGTCCAATCTCAATGAAACTTCACATGTTTGATAAGAGTCCCGCCCTGAACACGTCTACATGATATTATTACATGAGATAATATTCAGATATAGTGCACGTGTTGCGCCAGCACGTGACGCGGCCGCAGCACACACTGACGCGCACCGAGTGCGAGGGCCTGTTCATCACTGCTTGCAGTTTTAATTTCTATTGCCTTTGGACATTTTTATTCATTTTTATGTCTTATGTTATACACAATAAATTTAATGATGGCAAACCAACTTGCAAGGGAAAAAATAACAAAAAATCCTTCATTCTTGGCTACACATTTGTCTGTTTCCATCATTGAAGGCTGCAGATGGGTGTGTTCTAATCCTTGCTTTGAGAAGCACCTGATTCAACAGCACATTGCTACAAGATGTGCCGAGAGCCCCTTTTCACAAATAAAATTGGTTTGTTCTCTGTTATTACATCTTCTTGTCCAGGATGTATAAAAGAGCATTTTTGACCCACAGATCACTGGTCTTGGGAAGCACCCACTGAGTGGTTTCCAAAACTCAGATTCTGGCCCATCTGTGTTTTAGAATGAATGTAAGTTTCAATGACTTTGTTCCTCCATCTCCCTTCACTCCCCCAGGTTTGACACATACCGCAGTAAGGATGAGAGTCACCGCCTTGCAAAGTATATGGATGGTGTGGAGGCGGGGCTCATACTGGCCATGGTGGTCAACGACGAGGGCTCCAACAACTTGGAGGACTCAGCCAAGAAGAGCCTTTCCAGGCTGGGCAGCCAGTACATCAGCAGTCTGGGATTTCGGTGAGCTCCTGAAATATTGTTTTTGACATTAAATGCCACCATTTTAGCCTACTCTGGCAACTGGTGATGGAAAGTGTCATTTAGATTTTCTGAAACACAACATTTTCATAATAGAAGCATAACAGATAAATAGCTGAATCAATTATGACGATATTTCTAGGTTCAATTCTTTTCCAACTCAGCTCATAACATGTTACAAGGAAAATGTGTTTGCGAAGCTTCCAGCATTTTTTTTATTGATTGCTGTGAATTAATGACATACTGTTACAACCTCAGGTGAGTCACAGCTGTCTTTTGCTAATTAATCCCTGGAGCTTTTTGGGACCCTAATGATTTTCAATAAACTATCTCCAGTGTAACATTTTGTAAACTTATAAACACTCAGTGTTCACTTTATTAGCTACAATCTTAAGAAATGTAATGCTTCAGCTCATATAAATAAAAATAACAAACAAAAAAAGTGAACTGAATTAACATCTCTATGTCAGTGTCAATAAAAGTGGGACATTATAGGCATTATAAAGGTAGACGACCCTCAAGAAAATAAACTATGAAAAGGTTTAGTAACACAGTAGTCACTTAGAGCAGACATTTTACTGACGTATTCAGTATCAACAATATACTATATGAAAGAACTTTGCTCAGTCCTACCTAGCAGTAAATACGTAGATTAAACAAGGCCTCGATACACTCACAATTTAAAGTTCAGTACATATGAGAATGTGCGTGTATACATACACAAACATACAACATTTGCACTTGTTATAGAATTCTGTAGCAGCTAATCCTGTCTTGTCTGCTATAAAGATGCTAAATCTCACTCTGCACAAAGTGTTTAGAGGGAAAAAGCTTTGTGTGTGTGTGCATGTGTGCGTGTGTGTGTGTGTGTGTGCTCGCGCGCGTGTGTTTGTGCATATGCTAGTATGTCAGGAATGCATGGGAAATGGAAACTCAAATCATTACATGATAACAAAACCCCTGGAGATGTCTGAAAGTTACTGACATAAGAGTATGGGAGTGGATGAGAACGTGTACTTGTACACTGACACATTCCTCTGACAAGACTCAACTGTGCTCTTGTTTTTCAGAAATAAAGAATGCAGAACTTTTAGGAAACTTTGCATAGTAAACTACAAGCTTGTGTGGATGTTTTGTTTTGCTCAGTGCTAGTCAGCTACAATATCAGAGGCCTTGTTGTGGGCTGAGAGACGTTGCTGGTGAATGTTGGCCCTATGGTTAAGCCAAGCCTGTTACGAAACGTAATGCTTCTGAGGAGACCGCAGGAAACACTGCAAGGCTTTCATAAACAGCACGAGGTCGGAGTGAGAGTTACCATTCCCTTTCCCAATTTGCACTTTGCTTCATAGCTGTGGATGCTGTGGAGGACAGAGTAAATGGATGGGAACGATGGCGAGGCAGTAGAGGGATTCCTGCCTAATGACTCTTGTCGCCTTCCCTCCTCATGCTGTTGCCAACAGGCCAACACTAGTGTCATCAGGAGAGAGAGGCTGTGTAATTTGCGGTGCACCAAGAGACATTTTAATAAGCTGGAATTTATGAGACAGCGTAGACTTTGCAATACATTCTTAGTTAAGTAATTTGCATATGTTTACTGCAGCTGCCACAGTGGTGCTGCTGGCAACACAGAGAAATACAGCAACACACCTCTGGTGCTGCTTTTTAAAGCTCAGCAGAAATGGATTCAAACTCAGTCGGGGAGCATCTACAGATGTGGTAAAGTAATGGGGTATTCTCTGGGGACCAACCAAATCGTGTTCACATAAATTGGATGCTGTATTCTCAGCCTAATCTCTAATCATACATTCCTGTTTTAATGGTGTAAACAGTAACATTTTACTGACTCACAGTACATAATGACCAGAGTAAATCACAAGTGTTACTGATCAATGTCAGTCACTCCTCTGTGACCTCAATGACTGCTAAGATTTAAAATTTTCTGTTGCCAGCTGGGCTCTGCTGGATGAACTCGTGGCAACACCCCCTAAACTACTAATTCCCTTGTCTTGTGATTCCAGATGATGAGAAAATTCAACACCTACTAGGGCTGTCACTTTCACTGAAAAAATACTCTCAAAATACATAAATACATTGACACCACATGGGAAAGTATAACGTCAAGTACTAAAGCAATGTGTTCCTACATTTTATATTCAGTATTCCTGTTTTCAATGCAATAGTTAACTGCCATTAACTGTCAACTGGAGTAAAACCTCTGGAAAAGACTGATTGCAGAAGTTGCCTCCCTGCCACAGACAATGACAGAGATCTTCAGTAAAGCACAAGTTTGTGTTTTTGTTCATTAGATTGCAAAAGATGCAATTCAAAGCAACTATGATACTGTCGTAGTGTTATTCCACAATGACAAAAAAATTGGTTTGCCATGAATTTAGTGATGGATTCTAAACGTCTGAAATTATATTTGTGTTTTTCTTAATAAATCAGACACTCATGGCGCAGCGCTGTATTGTACCTCTTTATATGGCCAGAGGGTATTTGGCTAAAAAATGTTTCAAAGGTGGTACATTATTGTAAAAGCTTTGAGAATAACTGTTCTAAAGGATAAGACACTCGCTCTTACCACACTAATGGGCCGTATATCCTTGCATTCACTTGCTGAGGCTGAGTGTGCCAAATAGTAACAGTCAGACTTGGTTGTGCGATTGACATTGCTCCACTTATCTGTGGTGTCTCTGCTCCGCTACGCTGCCTTACTTGGGTGACAAGCTAAAGTTAGCAAATGAGTCTACAGATTTTTTACATCGTAGAACTAGACAGACTTTGGTGTCCACTCAGGACGGCTTTGCTTGCGTTGCTCATCTTCTTCTCTGGTTTTCACTGTGGATTGCAAACAGCTTCAAGGTGCACAGCGCCACCTACTGTACAAGCATGCTTTGCTCACTAGTGTCCTACATTTTCATAGTAAACGACATAACATCACTAACTTAGTTTACTGACAGGTCAATAGGGAATGCTATATATCAAGATGATAATGGACCCACCTCTGCTCGATCACAAGGCAAACTATTTCAAATGGTCTGTTGCGCTTGTAGACTGTAAAAAAGCTGACAGCCCTAGGACCTACCAGTCGTCAGGGGATTTCTAATTGCAAAGTACCTTCTTGAGCGGCGGCGAGAGCAGACACTGACAAACATACTGTACATACCCTTATTCCAAGGAGACGGCTTACCTCCATTCTCCTCCGTAGTTAAACAAACTGGACATATAGTGAATCACCTTTTAAAACATTGGAAAAGGAAGTCCCGAGCACAAGATGTTCTTTTTTAGCAGAGATATGTTCAGCACACCACCTACTAAAGGTCTTCATCTCCCCAACACCAGTGTCACACCTCTCTCCTCACAGTTCACACACACTCACTTCCATTCACACTGATCTGATGTGACACACATGCACAAAGCTACCCTGACAGCCAGCATGTCATCACCTAAGTGATGCATGCTGGGATAGCTCATTTAATTACCTAGACTCCCCACTTGTGGATGTCAGCCACTCACTCTTTATGTCAGCATTATTAGAAATATAATGTTTCCATCTGTGTGCGTGTGTGTGTGTGTGCAGTCTAATGTAGATGTTCCTCAATTTTCTCCTGCTGTTCTGCTGCCTCTGTCTGAATGTCATCTTCTTTTTCCATTCTTGGCTTCATCTCTTATTCACTACATATGTCTCTCTCTTTCTGTCTCTGTCTGTCTTGGCCCTGTCCCTTCTGTCCATTCTCTGCCCTCACTTATCTATCACCTGTTCTCTCTTTCCCCTGCTTCATCTATTCTGTCTCTTCCCTCTACAGTCATCCCTGGACTTTTATAGTGACAAAAGGTGACCCTTCTTCTGTTGTGGAGGATCACGCTGTCTATCAAGGTAGAAATATTTTTTTTAATTTTTGCTACCCACCCATATGTTTGTAGTAAAAAAAACGTACATGTTGTAACTGATCTGTGTGTGTGTGTGTGTGTGTGTGTGTGTGTGTGTGTGTGTGTGTGTGTGTGTGTGTGTATTGTCAGGGACCAAGGCCTCCTCACAGGCCCTGAGCTCTCGTGTTTTCCAGTCAAGCTACGGGGAGCATTTCACCATCACCACCAGCAGCCAGTGGGTGCAAGGTAACTCTTCTCTCTCTCACACACACAGTTTTTCATACCCAGATGTGACACATTCTGCCCCAAACTCATGTGGTACATTTTATCAAACAGACACACCGGGCTGGAGTTGCACTTTCATTTGTGTCAGTGTTTGCAAAGTGTGTCTCTCTTTATGGAGGATAACAGAGGTTGATGATGTATTCCCCTGTATTTACTGAGATTCTATTTGCAAACTATTTGTAACGATCAGTTTTGCAAGGAAAGTTCTCCGCAAATGCAATTAACATAAGCCACAAGGAAAAAAGGGAGAAATAAATGTGCATTAAATATGGGCCAGTATATAGCTATAGCTGTTTTTTAGAGATGATCAATTAGGCTATCATTAATGAGCACAATATCTACTGTAACACAAACAAATTAAGCACAGTGTTAGTTCAGGCAGGCCACGAAGAGGTGTGCTCTCCCTGCTTTAAGGTTTTCCACGTAGGCATGTGGAAGGGCAAGGAGGTCCCAGAACAGAGCCATACCGCCAAATGTAACATTCTGCTTTGGAATAAAAGTTCTTTTGACAAAAGTGTTCCTGACTGAAATAGTGTTTTGGTTTGTTGTTTGACATATCACATTTAGGTGGTTATTTTACTGCTCTTTGTGTCTGTTTGCGTCTGTAGATTTTACCTAAAGTTAGCATAAGATATTGCCTCATTTGCATATTAAAACATAACATTACACAGTGTAGTGTATAGTATAGTATATAGTATATAGTTTAGTATAGTCTCACACTCAGAGCCAGAAGTCTCCACTTCAGCAGCATTTACATACACCAAAGCTTCTAGTTTTATTCTTACTTATATTCTGAAGGTTTTTACAGAGGGCTTTGTTCATATATCATTCACAGTATGATTTATAGAGCATTTTATTCCTAAAAACATGGTGAAATGTGATTTTCTTTTATGGCTATTGAAAGTATTTCCTGATTTATGGAGTGAATAAAAGAGATATCCAAAAATCTCTCCCTAAAAGCCTTTGATGAAACAAACATGCTCCATTGGCATATTGAAACATAACATTTCATAAAACTTAAAAAAAATAATTGTTTTAATGTAAGTCATTAACTGAGGAAGTTTCATGGTGATATCTGTTAAATTCACTGTTTACCCTGTTCACCTGCAGTGTCTCCCCATACACCTGAATTTGAATTTGACTTTTAATAAACTGTAAAATCACTACATACTGCTACTAATCGTTTCATTCTTTTGTTACCATGTTTAAGTGTGTATATGGCTGCATTTGCCTCAGTGCTAAAAAAACATAATATCCTCTCTACGCCCACATGCTCTCCTCTCCACTGGTACCTTGCGTTTATTTTGTATCTTTGATTTGTCTTATTATATCACTTTCATTTCCCATGGACATGTTCAACTGTTTTTGTCTGGTAGAGCTGAACCACGACCCTGGTAAATATTCTGTAATCAGGATCACTATGTTATTAGTTCCTTTCTGAGCTTTTCTGCGCTCTCATAGATATCCCACTGCTGGACTATGGCCAGTCCACTCATTTCGGCTCCACGACTATTATGTCTAAACTACTTCCAGAGTGAAATGGTTAAAAGGTTGACTTGTCTGTACAGTGTTATCAAAACCAATGGAACTATGTAAAGATTTGAGCAGGATTAGGCCTAACCCTAACCCTATAAACCATTTCCAGTATGCAACTGTGAGTATTTAGTCCAGAAAGAAACTTGATGTGTGTCCTACATTTCCGAACTCATTATACTACACCGCATTCTCTGTCCTTCTGTCGTTACCTCTAACGTACTTCCACTTCTGTTATGAATTGGCGATATACAAATAAAATTGAAATGAATTGAATTAACACCTGTGGCAAATCCAAACTTCTAGGGTTAACCTTTGAGATATGTAAGTTATCATTTATAAAAATGATCACTGATATAAGCCTTAAGAATGCTGCCGGCTCCATGTTTCATCAACACTAGTTTTCTCCACCACGGCCGTTATTGCTGCTTTCAATAAATCACTGTGAAGTTTACTGAAAGGAATATGATGAAATTCAACTCTAGGTTTGGTACTTCTAATTTTGCATTTTAGTCTTTGTCACAATATTTGTGTGGCTGGTGCAGGAAAGTGTCTTTAGTTAAGATAAGCTTATCTTACATGAAACTACTTGAGGGGCCAGTGTTGGAGGGAGACACTACAGGTGAATTGGATAAACATTTTATTTAACAGATATCACCTCAGTTGATTACTTACATTAAGACAATCATTTTGCAAATGAAGCACTATCTACTGAAAAATGCACTAATTTGCATACATTTCCAGAACATAAATCTGAACATTGGCTAAAACCAGGTTTCATTTTGTTGACATATTAGAGTTGGAGGTTAGAGGTTTTTACAGAGGGGGGATGTATGTAAGTGCTAGTGAAGTGGAGATTTAGAGTGTGAGAAAAAAAAACTCACTTTAAGAAAACAGATATCAACATATATCAACATGAAATTTCCCCAGTTGATTACTTACATCAATACAATTATTGTTTTCTATTACAAGTTTTCTTAAACGTTTCAATATGCAAATGAGGCTATATCTTATGCTAACTTACTTACTAACTAGCTAGGATAAATCTACAGGAGCAAACAGACAAAGTGCAGTAAAATAACACCTAAATGTGGATTTGGAGCATTTTCCTTCCTCTAGTCTGAAAGAAGACATGTTAGGGAAGCGAAACAGGCCAAAATCTCAAAATTAACCAGTTCATGAAAAAACATCTTTGCCTGTAATGTCTCATCTTAATGCATTTATCTGACAGCAGAATATTTTTTTTCTGCCTGCCAGCATGGTGGCTGTTAGAGGTTGTAATTCAACTGCAGGATCACAATAACTTTAACATGTAGACACAAGCAAATAAAACTCCACTTGTTCCATCATCTCACCGGGGCTCTTTAAGTTCCTCCTGAGCTGTAATTGATCAGTGATATCATCACCACATCATCTCATCAATACGCCTGCCTCATATCCAGCCGTCTGCTGGTATGCTGCTGTTATTGACCCCCCCACCCCTCCTTTTTAGTTAAAAGCTGACTCCAATTAGATGCTTCTCATCTCCCATCAGATAGCAGTTCTTTTAATGAAACTGCCACATTCCGGCATGCAGATACGGACACATGCACACACGCAGTCTCTTCCATTGCGTGTCGAGCTACGGATTGAAATTCAGGCCCACAGTCAAATGCGCATCCCCCACTGTGGCAGCCAGACAGAGAACATAATGGGAGGAGAGAGCCCTTCAATTACTCTGCTACAAATGCTCTCTGACAGTCTAAATGGACTGCAAGTCAAAGCCTTGATGTAGATTAGTCTAATATCTACCGCTTGGTTGTCCAACTACTGAACTGGGTGCTACTGGTGTGTGTCCGTGTGTGTCCGTGTCCGTCCCACAGAGGCAGAGTGGACAGAATGGTTTGACAGAGATGATGAGAGGGGATCTGGAGACTGGGAGAAACTGTCTGACCTGCACGAGGCCTATCCAGACCGACTATGTAGCAGTCCACTGGGCATCCAGGTAAATCTCTTCTCACTTCATTAAACACGCATACATATATGAGTGTGCGTGCACAGTTACACCTTACTGATACTGCAGTCACCAAGACTCAGAGATGAGAGCTGCTGATGCCAGCAACTGGGTTGTTATCATATTCTTCTGAAGCAACATGAAAATCCACTGATATATTATCAGCAGAAACCTAAATGCAGTGCTCAGGTATCATTTTATAGAGTCAGTTTACCCAGAAACCCTCCTGCTCTCTCTGTGTAAATGTTTGACTGCCTCAGGTGATTAAAGCAAATTGCAAAGGTGGAATATCTGAGAAATGAAACAATAGTAAATGTACTAATTACACGCCTGTGGCATTCTGACAGTTTTAAATTTAAACATCAGCTACCTGCAGTCCTGCATCCCAGCTCTGTTCACAAGCCCACACTTAAAGGAACACTCCAACATTTTGGGAAGATTTGTGGTCTTACCCAGACTCAGGTTTGAACAGTGGTTCTCATACTGTGGGGTATAGAGTCACTGCAAGTGGGGCGTGGATGACCAAGGGAAAATATGGAGTGGAACTAATCTTATTGCTGAATATGACTGAATATGATGAAGGGAAGATAAAGAAACAAGAGTTTGCTAATGCTATCGTGCTGACCTTTATGTCACTAAAATTCAACTTGGATCCTTTGTATTAGTTTTGGTTCCCCTATCTGTCTTGATTGATAAAAACTGTGAGGCATGTACTTTTCCAGCTTCTGAAGGAAGAGAAAGTTAGAGAACCACTGGGTTAGAGGATTGTGTCAGTAAGCGTCCAGAATGCTGGCTTTTCATGCCATGCCCAAGGGATTTATAATTATGTTTTCCACTTTATGATTCGGAACAAGTTTTGATTTTTGAAATTAGCCTTTCCAGCAGTTTAAGTGATAAAGCAGGGGCGTGTCATTGTCAAAGTCATTGTTTTGCAAGCCACATATAAAAGTCTTGGCTATAAAGTCTAGAGTCAAGACCAACAAGCACAGCCATTCTGGTGCCCGAGGCCAGAAATTCACTTGTGCCTTTTGGGTGATTGATCTTTTAATTGCCCAATAATTGAATGATAGGTTGTTAAACTTTTTTCAACTTCACTCAACTTCTGGTCTGTGTCATGTCATCAACAACACATAACCTAGTCTGGAATTACACTATATGCATCTGCAAGTACCGCTTGGGTCTGAGTGACGTAAATGTTGTCATCAGAGGGTGTACGCTTGGGCTCTGTGCAGACATCCACATACCGCCAATTTGTTGTGACAGTGCAGACTGTCAACATAGCTACGTATGACCACACTGTGAGCAAATAGTATAAAAAGAACTACTATATAGCTGATATATATGTATTATAATATAATACAAAGGATAGAATGTCATTCATAATTTATGACTCAGTTTACTGATCATCTGTGCAAGAGTGTCTTGAATCTTCAGTAAGAGACAGTCTGTCATTTCTGTATTGAGGTGCAAGTAGTATCGGTACTGTAGAGGTGTTATTCACCTGCAAACTATCACTGGAATAGACACACAACTCAACGAAGCTCTGCTTGCATTGTGTACTGACACTTTGCTGTCATATCATTAATTAAAACTGCTACCTGCAGTTTATTTATTTATTTATAATTATTTGATCCCTTGCTGATTTTGTAGGTTTGCCCACTTACAAAGAATGGAACTGTGTATAATTTTAATCATAGGTATATTTTAACATTGAAAGACAATATCACAAAGAAAATCCAGAATAACAACATCGTACAAATTCTGTAAATTTATTATCATATTTTCGCATGAAATAAGTATTTGATCCCCTACCAACCAGCAATAATTCTGCTTCCCACAGACTAGTTAGTTTTCCATTAAGAAGCACTCCTAATCTCAACTCATTACCCAAAATACCTGTGTCAACTGTTACATTGTTATGCAGCTGTATAAAAGACACCTGTCCACACAATCAATTACATTCAAACATTTCCACCATGGGCAATACAAAGGAGCTGTCTGAGGACATCAGGGACAAAATTGTAGAGCTGCACAAGGCTGGGATGGGCTACAAGAAAATAAGCAAGCAGCTTGGTGAGAAGACTGTTGGAGCAATTATTAGAAAATGGAAGAAACACAAAGTCACCGACAATCTCCCTCGGTCTGGGGCTCCACGCAAGATCTCGCCTCGTGGAATATCAATGATCATGAGAAAGGTCAGGGATCAGCCAAGTACTACACAGGAGAAGCTTGTTAATGACCTGAAGGCAGTTGGGACCACAGTCACGAAGAGAACCACCAGTAACACACTACACCGTGAAGGATTAAAATCCTGCTGCGTACGCAAGGTTCCTCTGCTGAAGAAGGCACATGTACAGGCCCGTCTAAAGTTTGCCAAAGAACATCTGGATGATCCGGAGGAGGCTTGGGAGAAGGTAATGTGGTCAGATGAGACCAAAATAAATATATAAAATTTGTACAATGTTGTTGTTCTGGATTTTTTGTGATATTCTGTCTCTCAATGTTAAAATGTACCTATGATTAAAATTATACACAGTTCCATTCTTTGTAAGTGGGCAAACCTACAAAATCAGCAAGGAATCAAATAATTATTGCTCCCACTGTATGACAGCATACAGTGCAGCTTTGACAGCATTCACTCCCCTTTTGCAGGGTTTTGCAGGAGGTCTGTTTTAGCACTCTCTCTCCATTCAGTCTCTATCTTGTTACCACCGCTACCCTCAGTGAGCCAGGGAGCATGCGCTTTTGCCGTGCTTTATACCTATACAGTCTGTGCAGTCCCAAATTTTGGGCTGTATTCACATTCCATATGGGACATGAGCAGAAAACGACATTTACATCACACTCACAAAAGCGGGCCCTCACAGACACACAGTAGCAAAGAGTATGAATCGGCCTAAATGAAGAGTAGCTGTAGCTTCAATATCCAATGCCTGATGTATCTTATTCCTCTGTGCTGTAGAGCTCCATCGTTCCATTTCTACAAAAACTTTTATGAGAACCATAATGGGCGTGATTTCATGAAAACATTAAGAATCATCACTTTAAACTCACATCTGCACATACTACACATAGCAACATTAATGTTGGATTAACGGTGTACCAAAGAGGAGCCGCCACAAGGATGGCAACTGCGACTGCTCCTGTGTCCAGGTTTGTTGGGGCTGGATTATCCGCGTCAAGCCAACCTGCCATTACTGTGCTGCTGGTACATGACACAGCCCCAGCCAATGAATGTGGATCCAGTCTGGCACCATAAAGCAGCAGCTGTTAGCCTTCCATGAAGATAAGCAGTAGTGCCAGGTCTGTTCACATCGCCTCCAACACCCATACCATTAGCATAAAAAATTGCTACTGTAGGCTACAGCTGTTCTTTTTTATGTTTGCTGTGCAATGGTATAACTTGATCAATTTATTTCATTGCATCTGTGCTCTATGTTCTCTTGCTGGACTATCCTTTTTGCTGTTTGAAAAATAAAAATGTATTCCAAATGATTTCTTGGCATACAATAATGATTTCCAGAAATGTACCAATCTTTTCTTTTTTTTAGTATCTGCCTTCTACCATGTGGTTAGAAAAAATTGTTGTTGTTTTTAAAAACATTTAACTGTCCTCCTTGGGTTCCCAGCTCTGTGTGTGTCATCGTTTTTCCACCAAGTCTGGACATAGTCAAAGTTTTCCTCAGTTTGCAGTTTTCGCCTATGTGGGATCTCTATTTTTGGCCGCCAAGGGATTTTTATCATCTTATTCCAATATGTTATGTAATGCGGCTGATTTGTTTTGGATTATATGACTGTCCGAAGGCACAGTGAAGAGGCTCAGTGCCTGAGGCTTAACGTAGACACCTTCCTGTTGGTGTTTGGCTTTGTGATGTAATGGTAACACTGAGAGTCACTCGAGTTCAGGAGGTCACAGTCCTATTGCTCTTTTGCAAAAATGGATGGTATGAATGGTTACCGGAGACTTTTGCATTATTAAATAAATTAAACCACATATTAAAATATATTAACCACCTTGGCATTTTTAATGAAAGCAGTGTCAAAGCTATATAAGAGCAATTTCTGTGTTGGCACTGAATTCACGTGTCTGAAATTGTTGTAGAAGTTTTACAGTCTCATTGAAGATCTAATTTAAAGGGGCGGGGCCTACCAGCAGAATTTGTGACATCACAATAGTTTGGAAGTCAGTCCTGGTCCAGTATGCAACTTGTACAGTGTGATGTAGAAACTTGATGCCACCAGTGCACATCCACTGAGAATGGACTTTACAGTGAAAGAGGAGACATCAAGTTTTAATGAGGTAGAAGGAGGAGATGACTATTTAAGAATTTGAGTGTGGAAATTATACAAAACACAATTATTAAAACATGTTAGACACACATTATTGTTCCAAGCAGACTATTTGCATACATGTCTTAATACACTACAGAGTATGTATTATGATGTTGCAAAAATACATCCGTGCAGGAGTCTAACCTGGAGTTATAGTTTGTCCAGACCAATGGAACACTGAGGCCTAATCCTCAGAACGGGTGGCCTTTATGAAATTCCTCCTGTTTGCCAGCGAAAGCCAGACACTAGACAAATACCAGATGTCTGGTGCAAAAACACAGAACTTTAGATGCCTGCAAACAAGAGTGATGCCAACTTGCCAAACATCTCTCTGTACCTCTCTCAAGCTATAGACAAGGGTATTTCCCAACATTTTAATACCATTGTTCTCCCAAAATTGTTCTGGTTTTTAAGTAGTCTTTACAAAAAGTACCCAAATAGTACCCTCTATCCTCTTTGTAATTAATTTTTCCCTTGTACAGGCTGAAACCCATGATGGCATACCATCCAACCAAACAGGAGATGTGATCCATAAGAATGACAAGGACTACGGCTTTGTCTGCCTCAACAAGGACCAGGCTCATGGCCTCTGTCGCAACTACAGGGTCCGCTTCCTATGTGGAAAATTGGGTATGTTCATCAGTTTGTGTGTGAGTATGTGCATAGGTATCTGCATGACCTTTTTTCCACTTCTATGCTCTTTTTGCAAAACAGAATATAAAGAGAATGTAAACCTTTATACTCATGGTACACTATGTTACTATTCAACAAGGATTAATAGCTGTCATAAGTATAGCATGAATAGAAAGCTGAAGCTGATCAATGTCCATAAATATAAAGACACACTCTGGCTGTGCTCCAGAGAATGTGTTGTGTGTGGGCAGGCTGATATGGTTGGAATGCATGGAGCCCACATCACGGTGCAGGGAACCACTGTTACACGGCCAGCTCAGAGTTCAGAGGCACTGCTCCAACCACACTGAGATATCCCGGACCTCTGTCTGGGCTTGTTTCTATGTCTGTATTTGTGTGTTATGTGGCGAGTACTATAGGGAGTGTTGGCGTGATTTCTGTCAAGGTTGACACTGAGTGCAACCATTTGCATCACTCTACAATAACCCCCCCCCCCCCACACACACAATGTGACATAGTACAACTGTGTGTACTCACCCTCTAATTCTAAGAAAGCCTTTGTTTGCCTTTCTTCTGAATTGAAAAAAATTGTTTTTCTACTAACATCTGTATACAATTGGATGACAAATAAACATAGACAGAATATAACCTCACAATTGTTGAATCACAGTTAAAATATGACAAAGATGGAGTGTTTCTTAAACTGGAATTAAGGGTTTGTGCTATACCTGTATTGAAGCTGCAGGTGTTGGCTCAGAGGTTACCCCATATCTGAACACTGCAGACCTTACCTGCATCGTGATTGACACTCTGTGTGAATGAATGGACATACAGTGATAATCTTCTATTCAGTAATGAAACATGGCAAAATAACATTACGTTGTCTGGATATAACTCCAGTTTTATGAGAATGATGATATACGATACATGCAATTATCAATCAATGGGTGAAATGCAACTTTACCTCAAAAACCTATGCTGTAGGTGACCACAATGGTCAATATGTTTAAAAGATAAAGTGATACAGGTGTAGTGTGATACGTGTGTGATTGAAAAGTAACGACACTCATAGTTCACTGATTAAAACATCAGTGATTTGTGTGACATGATAATTATATTATATTTCTGCGAACCGATCCTCCTAAATGTTGCACACTTTAACCCCTTGCATCAACTTTAAATCCAATTATTACAAACAGCCTATTCCCTGGATTTGGGAAGGGTTGAGAATAAGCAATCCATGCGTGTAATTTCACTCCAACTTATTGTGCTTTAGGCGTCACTAGTCAAATCCTCTTCTGGCCACTAGCCACGAAACCAACTCTGATTACTCTGTGATCAAGTTGCAGCAAAACAAATGTGGAAGAATTTTGGTAACAACCACAGAACTAGGCATCCTCTCACGAATCCCGAGTTTGTACACGTCTGAATATTTTGCATCAACATATCAATCTTTCTCCTCAGTTCTACTGTTTCTCTTTTGGTCTCATAAAAACACACAATAACACAGAGAGAGCAATAAGTTTATGTGTTTAAAATTAACAGTATCTTCAGTAAGTTGGTCCGTATTACACTGACTGATGATACCAATTAGAATCAGAATCAGAATCAGATTTAGGTTTATTGCCAAGTAAGTTTTTACACATACGAGAAATTTGTCTTGGTGTATTGGTGCATGAAATATACAAATCACTACTTTTAAAATATAAATAAATAAAGATAGGAAAACTGTACAGGAAACTGGAGTGCATTAATGTAAAGCATATATACACGGTGGGTATTAAGAGTCAGTGTCAGTCGGGGTTCCGAGCCTTGTTAATGAGGCCAGCTGCAGATGGAAAGAAACTGTTTGGAAGGTTTTGGACCGCAGCCTCCTACCAGAGGGAAGTGTTTCAAAGAGTTTGTGTTCGGGGTGGGAGGGGTCAGCCACAATCTTGCCTGCACGCTTCAGGGTCCTAGAGGCATATAGGTCCTGGAGGGATGGCAGATTGCAGCCGATCACCTTCTCAGCAGATCGAATGATATGCTGCAGTCTGCCCTTGTCCTTGGCAGTGGCAGCAGCGTACCAGATGGTGATGGAAGAGATGAGGATGGACTTGATGATGGCGGTGTAGAAGTGCAACATCATCGTCTTTGGCAGGTTGAACTTCCCCAGCTGCCGCAGGAAGTACATCCTCTGCTGGGCTTTCTTGGTGAGGGAACTGATGTTCAGCTCCCACTTTAGGTCCTGGGTAATGATGGTACCCAGGAAGCGGAAGGACTCCATAGAGTCAACTGGGGAGTCACACAGGATGATGGGGGCAAGTGGGGCTGGGTACTTTCTGCAGTCCACAACCATCTCCACTCTTTTCAGAGCGTTTAGCTCCAGGTCTTCTGGCTGCACCAGGTCACCAGATGGTCAATATTCTATCTGTAGGCAGACTCATCTCCATCAGAGAGGCAACAGGTCTATAGTCATTGAGTCCAGGGGACCTTGGTTTTTTGGGGACAGGGATGATGGTGGATGCTTTGAAGCAGGCTGGCACATGACATGTCTCCAGTGAGGTGTTGAAGATCCTAAATGCTTGTTCTTTCTGCAACCGTAACTGACTGAGTTTGGCTGTGAACCAGGGTTTGTCATTGCTATATCTCACCCTGGTGCATGAGGGTATACAGCAGTCCTCACAGAAGCTGATGAATGATGTCACAGCCTCTGTGTACTCGTCTAGACTGTTGGTAGCAGTCCTGAAAACATCCCAGCCAGTAGAGTCAAACACGCCTGGAGATCCTCCACAGCTTCACTGGTCCACTGTTTTGATGTCCTCACAACAGGTTTACAGAACTTTAATTTCTGCCTGTATGTAGGAATCAGGTGGACCATGACATAGTCAGAGAGGCCAAGTGCACCGCGGGGGATGGTGTGATATGCTTTGCTGACTGTAGTGTAACAGTGATCCAGTGTGTTCTCCTCTCTGGTTGGGCATTTAATAAACTGTCTGTATTTGGGGAGTTTGTGGCTTAGGTTTCCTTTGTACTTTATGTTACATTATAGGGTTATCATACTGCTCAACCTCTCTGGGAAAGCTTATGCTGGAAAGGGTAGTCCAGTGTGATTGCAAGGGAACTGAAGGATTCATGGTAGTTTTCCAGTCTACATGTTTTGTGGAGTTGGAGAAGGCTTATGACCGTGCCCTCGCAGTATCATGCTGGGGGTGCTGGGGGAAATACGGGGTTCCGGGGCCATTGCTATGAGCCATCTGGTGCTTATATAACTGGAGCAAGTTGTTTCTTTATTCTCAGTGGGAAGTCAAGCACATTCTCTGTGGGTGTTGTGCTCTGCCTGGGTTTTGCCTTGTCACTAATTCTGTTCTTGAGTTTCATGGACAGAATCTCTTGGCACAGCTGGGAGGCAGCTGAAATGGTATATATAAATACAGTCCATACAAGTCCATATATATATATATATAACCCATGAATGGAGCTAGCCTGAGATATTGTTTTCATATCGTATTTTGAGAACATCTTTAAATATCGGAGTATGTAAGAACTAAGAATTTTTTTTTAAAAAGAGCAAAATCTGCAAGACCGTTCAGCCAGGTAACTCAATTTACACTTACACATGACATAAGTCAAAAGTTATTAAGTCAAAAGGCTCAGAAATGGGACAATGGGCACGGAAGGTGTTTGACCCAATTCAGACCAGTGTTGCAGTGTGTGACTGTGTAGTTGTGTGAATGTACAAGTATGTGTGTCAGCTTGTGAGCTATAACTCTCATCATCTCCCCTCTGCAGTTCGTCCGCAGGCCTCCATTTCCATTGATATGTTGTCCAACAGCAGCATCCTCGAGCTCGCTGACCAACCAGAGGGCTGGGGGTCTAGGGATCGGGTGGTGGTGGCCAGTACTGACTACTCCATGCACCAGGCTGAGGAGTTCACCCTGTTGTCCTGCCCTACCTGCACATCCAACCAGGTCAAGGTTCAAGGTGAGACAACCAGTGAACTACAATATGTTACCATGCAGGGCTGGGTTGAAAGGTTGTGATGTTGCTGGGGAAATATCTATGTATCAGTACAGTTCAACTTGTTATTTCAAGTTAAGTCTCACACTAAGCAGACTTTTAACTATTGGCATAAAGTCTGTTCCCCAGTGTTCTTTAACATGTTTGCGAGCTGGCTACTTTCACAGGAGAGGTTTTTTGATAGTAGTTGTTGGGGAGAATGCAATCTTTGAGCCGGCTATCATCTGATCGTCTCTGGGGGCAATGGCCAGTATTTTGAGGCTTCTGGGGTAGCTGACGGATATCCAGAAACAGATAACAGATATCCGCACCAAGACTTCTTCTGCATGATGAGAAAGACACATTTCAGCTAATCTCTATAAACAGATATATTCGTACATGTGCAAATGAACAAAAGGTAATTAAAGCTTCAGAGAAGTTTCTGACATTGCATTTCGCCTGCTTACGCCTCTTTTGCTCTTAAAATGGACTGTTTACCTGCATGCAACCAAAACCTGCTAAAACGTAATTCGTCACTACCACTTGGAAACTTGCAAACTTCCGATTGGTCCCTTGTTTACAGATTCTGCATTCATATGCAGACATATGTATACATATTAGCGAAAGTGTAACTTGCTTTCACCACTCATATTCTCCTAGAAATAGCCAGCCTTGCTCTGCCCAAAGTTAAAAAAAATGTACCTACCAACACCACTAAAGATCATTAACTAATTTACATGGTGTATCTAATTTACACAAACAGATATGACAACAATTTGTGGTTTGAGGGGGTGTTAAGTGGTTAATGTATTATTAGCTGTGAATGCTTTGGGAATAGACTATTTGAATATTGTGAAAGACAGACTCCAAACCAAATGCAAATATGTTCCATCTGGTCATGATGAATATCATGTATACTGGGGTTTGGTATAAATAAAATCTTAAAGAAAATAAAGAATGCCTTGATCTAGATAGTTTGGTGTAATTATTGCTAAAACAATTAAGTTGATTAATTTATCAAGCAAAAATGTAAACATTCACTGCTTCCATCTTTTCAAATGTGAGGACATGCTGCTTTTATACAGATTGTAAACTGAATATCTTTATATCTTATTTTTAGACTGCTGCTCAGAAAACATTTAATTTTCACTATTTTCTGACATTCTGTAGTCAAAGTAATTAATTTGAAAAGGAATTAAAATATTAATCCATAGATGCTGCTCTATTTATATACAGTGCAATTAGAGACCAAAGAGTCTTTTTGAGTCATAATGGAGGATGCCACAGTGTTCCATGATAGAGTATGTTTGTTTATTGCATGACTGGCTTAATGAGATCCATAAAACGTCTGTCCTCCTGTTTGCTAGAGCCTGTGTGTATGTGTAAGAGAGAGAGGGGAGAGTGTGAGTAAGGAGAGGGACTAAGAAGTCAACCACTCATCTGAATAGATAGGTTGCCAGGTAGTTTTCTAGCAGAGAGAACTGAGGTGTGTTTCCCACTTTAATCCAGCTCCTGTAGGTTGCCTCTGGCCCAGCTCAGTGTCTTCTCTTGAAGGAGGACAAATGCTGTCTTATCAGCTTAGAAAATGTTACACAGTATGCACAGTGAATTCAACTATGCATTCTCTATCTTTTATCAATTTTGAGCATCACCTCTTCAGTTTTTTTTTGTGCCAGATTGTTACTTATTCCCATTTTCCACGAGGCAGTTAGAGGGCTGGTTTGGAGCCATTGCATAACCTTGCATTTCGACAACCAAAGAACCAGCTCTTGGAACTGCCTTCCATCCAGCATGGCATCAACACTTTGCCGGCCTTTATTCAAGTACCCACTCATAACAGGGGCTGGGGGTGCCTTGTGGCCAGCCAGCTATGTATTTATTAGCTGTTTAGCACATATATATTACAAATGTAACATTGAGCTAGCTGACTAACTAGCTAGGTGCTGGTCAGCTAACATTGCTCAAACAATTATAGCTACTAGTTTGTAACCTTGTTCGTAGCTTTAATGTTACTTTGTTGTTAAGGTTACTAACATTGATTGATTGATTGATTGATTGATAAGTAGTATGCTTGGTTGGGTAATGTAAGTTGACCAGCTAAGTAGCTGGCCAGCTGACACCCTTGTTAACAGGGTAACGTTGCAGACGTTTATAGTGATGTAATGACCTGGCTCTATGCTGGCTCTCTAGCCCGTGGAAAAGCAAATCGGTTCCTAGAAGGTTCTCAAGTTGAACCAACTCTGAACCAGCCCTGAACTAGCACTAGGTTTGCGTTGGTGGAATAGGGGATATTAGAGGTCCTGTTTCTATACTGTAGCAGCTGCTGTACTGTTCACATTCCACTACTTTGACCTGCTTTGGGCCAGTTTCTTTGAAGTACATTGTGTGTATTTTGTGTGCACACAGCTCAGTGACAAACAGAAAGCCACTAAAGGTGCTTTCAGACAGTGAGCGAAAGCCATAGGTGTTCTGCATGTACAGCAGGGAACAACAGCGGGGAAAGTTGAAGTTGGAAAAACTTGAACCATCATAAACTCCAAAAAGCGTGCACCTTTGCTAGAGCGGTACACAGCCTCCTTTTCAATGTCCGCTGACCTCAGTGAGTAAACAATAGCAGTGAAAGCTACTTCTTGCTGTTTGAAAGCATCTTAATACTGCCTGGGTGTCTATGAATGGGTAGAAAAAATAAAGGTAAGGTACATAAACACATTAATGTTTATTAAGCATTAAATATCTTAAAGATATTTCACCAATGTCCGTTGGCTGTGTGCACTGCTTCCACTGTTAAAGTCTCACCACAGTTAACTGCTGTCTTTTAGAACATCGAAAGTGAGCAGGAAGGACATTTTAGGCTGCTCATTGAGGCTATGTTACAATAATTTAGGAAAGAATATTCACAAACACAATGTTTTCACTTCATTTGAAGGAGTTTCATTCTAAAGTGAAATACCAAACTGTGTAAAGTCAACTTTACTGTTGTAGCACTTAAAAAAAACCACTTTGTTGCAAAGTGTTCTACAAGGTTAAAAGCAAAAGGTGACAGAACAAGAAACAAGCTACACAAATGAAAAAAGACCAACCACATAAAACAAGCAGTGGAAATACATCACTCACTCAGGAAGGTAAAACTGTGTCCAAATCAATCTCTTAAAATGGCAATGCATTATGGTAACCTTTAACACAGTCAGGCAGTTTGTTCCACAGTTTAGAAGCTGAAATAACAAAAGCTTAATCACACATTATTTGAGACTGGCTGTACTATAAGAGCTAGTAGAGCACAGAATACACATTAAACCCAAGTTCTGATTTTTTTTCCAGTGTATTTACATTCTGTAATTACCTCTCTATATCGTCATTTTAATTGTTCCTGAGAATCCTCCTTCATTCCTTGTCTTGACAATCCTGTCATGCAGGATTCAAGTCGTGTACCAAAACACAATGCATGCACATACTGAAAGTGATATTGACGAAAAAGCTGGTGAATATGCACATTTTACATTAAGTTAAATGATCCTTTATTGATCCTCGTAGGGAAATTCATTTGACCCATCCTAAGTACAAGGAGCAGCGGGCAGCCACTTTGTGGTGCTTGGGGACCAATTCCGGAACTGAGCCAGTACCTTGGTCAAGAGCACTGAAAGGAGAATTAACCTAACATAATGTACATGTTTTTGATGGTGGGGGAGACCAGAGCAACTGGAGAAAGCCCACTCAAACATGGAGAGAAAATGCACACAACTTCACACAGAAGGCAGCACTTGATCATGAGTGCAGTATAGTTGACTGGCTTCTTAAGTGTTGTTCAGAGAGTTATTTCAGAAATAAAAGTCCTGTTCATTTTCTGCCTCGATGCTGTTAGTTGAGTGACAGTTGGAGCCTTAGATAAGCTTTAGCCCCTCCTGGCTGGATCATCAGTACAAAAGAAGCACTGCATGGTAGAAAATGTCTGGTCTGTTTGATAAAAATTCAAAGTACAAGCTTGTGTACATAACAACTGAAGGAGAGCAGTTAAAGGAAAACCATGGTTTATTACAACCTGGGTTTTATTTTCATAGTTCTGGCCATAGGCTCTCTCAGTTATGACAAAATTCTCCTCACCAAAGTAATTGCTAAGATCTTGGAACACTGCAACAAAAAAGTTCAGTTGGTCAAGAAACACAAGTCACACTATCAGACAGGTTGAATACAAACCCCAAGGTTAGGCATACTATTTTGAAGAAAAGTGAATGAAGGTGAAATTATTACCCAAACTGTCCATTGTAAACATCTGTCACAGATAACAGGATCAGTTTTGACCTACCATACTCACCATAACCTTTGTGCATGTGTGAATTTCTTGTGCAATTAGGTATTATTAGCAGCATTATGAGTGTGTTCACTTTTAGTTTGACCTCCAAATAAAGTAGCAGCTAATCTGGCAAAATCCACCAGTCTCACTCCCAACTCATCAAATACTGCTTTCCACTTCAAAATATGTTGCTGTAGGTGCCCCACATCAGCAAGAATAAATATGCAACATCCAGTAAGGCTTTCAAAATAAAGCTTGACAAAGTTAACATTCTTAAACAGTTGGTTAGATTTAGGAAAAGATCATAACAACATGGTTGATGTAATTTAAAGGTCCCCCACCAGTAGCTGGAGCTATGAACTAAGACATAGTTGTAATCAACTGTCATTTTCCTATATATAGCTAATTTAAGTATATAGCTAATTTAGTGACTAAAATCTTAAGGATTACAACTTTAATGGATTTATGACTTTCTTTGCTGGCAAAATGCTGACATTTTTTCAGGATTAGATCATTTGTATTTGTTGAATACAGAGTGAGTGAATGTGTTCCTGCTTTAGATATAGCCTACAGTGATTTGGAATGAAATCCCTGTGAAACTATGACATTTCTATCTGCCTAAACAGATTAAAATCACTCACGGAAACCATCTTTATTCCTAGGAACCCTTCCATGAGAGTCTACGGATGTCTGTGTG